AACAGGGATAACAGATGCTGCTTTCCAGCAAAACATCAGAACACTTGCAGATTTTTTGTGGTACATAAAGAGTCCTAATAAAGAGTAGTTATTAATTGAAACATTTTTTTTTTTTTGTTAATTTATCTCCCCAAGGCAGAGAAAGTCACTACAGACAAGCAGGCTACTTAGTTTTGGTTATAACCCTCTCTCAACTCTATAATTCCGAAACATGAACCTTGACAAACAAGGCCGCTGCGCAGAGAAACAAGTTGAGCGTGGTACTACCAGGGACGTGGTGGGGATCGAATTTGGAACCTCTTGCTTATGAAGCAAGTGCTCTACCACCACACCACTACCACATAATTTAACATAATGACTGCATAATTTAACATAATGACTGCATAATTTAACATAATGACCAAAAATATTATAGTTAATTAAATTTATATTCAATCAATTGGTAGTTAAAAAAAATAAAAATCTTTTTTCCGTGTTATTAAACTTTTTAAATATTATATTGAAAAAATTTAAAACTAACATAACATGGAAACATGTTTAGTTAGCAGATGACTTTAACATAAATTTAACAAATAACCTCATAATAAATAATTTTAATTTAGTTAAATAATTTAACTAATTAAAAGAATTAAAAATTTCTGTTAAATTATGTTTTTATTTCTTAGTACTTGGAAAATGTTTGCTATAGTGGTTTTTTTTTGTCATAGTATATCGCACAGTGGACCAGAGAGACCGCCAGGTTTTATGTCGTGTCATAAAACCTGGTGGTCTCTCTGGCCAGGTTTTATGTCGTGTCATAAAACAAAACTTTTTTTATTTATTAGTATTTATTTTATAATAATAGAAAAAGTTGTTTTTGAAATGTAAACCAAGTGCTAAGAAACCTTTTTTTATTTATTAGTATTTATTTTAGAAGTTTAGATTTGCAAAATTATTAAAAAATTATTATATTTTATTAGTCAGGTAGTGCCCCCAGGATCTAATAAAAAATATAAAACTCTCATTTTTTTATTTATTTATTAATCTTATTTTTTTAATTTATTTAAATGAATTGAATAAAATTCAAAACAATAAAATGACTAATATTTACAAATACTACTGACATAAGGGACATAAAGCACCTAAACATTACTAACTCTTCTTTCGTTAAAGCCAATCACAGAAGAGAGGAGTCTTCCGACATATTCTTTGTTTGCAGCTTTTCATTTAAATCTGTTCCCAAAATTCAAACCGTTGGTTTGAATTTTGAGTGAACTGATTCTCCGCATTGTTCAGCAAACTTATATAAACCACATTTGAGGTATTCAACAAAAGGTTGCACATGACACAAGAGTATATGTACTTTCCAATTAATTAAAAGTTTTTTTTCGAGAATATCTACAATTCTTGAATTGAATTTCTTGAGCAAATAAAAAGAAGTTTTTAAATTTTAGAATGGCCTGCTGATATCCAAGCTCAAGTGTTCTACCAAAACAAGAATCTTTTACAATCTTAAAGTCTTTTAAACATTAAACAACTGACAGAAGATCAGGATATTCATACAAAACAACTCTTTTCAACTCATCAACACACTTTAGTATCTGGTTTGAATTATTCCCATAACGCCATTAGTCAAGAATTCTAAGCGTTCACAGTTTGCATGGCTTGATGTTCCAAAAACTGCATTAGCTGCACATTTCAAATCAAAAGCTGCTGAAAACTTAACATCTTGTAAATTGAGTTTCTCTAAAATTATTTTTAAATTGAAGTTTGATTCTTGCACATCTTCAACATTGGAGAGAATTTGACATCATTGTACACCACTATTTACTATGTATAAATTTGAAGAAGTATTCTCATTAACATTGAAAACATTTAAAATGACCTTCATGAAACCACCTTCATCCATAGAAATACGAACAAAAACTGACTGGGGATCAAGACAACATTGAGTAGTTAAATCAAGAATAAAACTAGATGTGTCTTAAAAAAAAAAAACAAGGTCTTTTATAAAAGTGCCATCAAGGCAGTTGACCTGAATAACAATAAATTTTAGAAAAACTTTTAACGATATAATTAATCTTAAATACTAAAAGATATATAACTGCTACCTTTTCTACTTGATAAAAATGCAATAAAGACTCTTCTAGGTCACTTATTTTTCCAAAAATGTTGTTTTCTACAGCCGACTTACTTTCCATTCTTTTTCGAAGAGTAGATATCAATAACCCCGTTTTATTCAGGGAAATTTCTAACACTTTTTGAAGTTCTTTAATCATTTGAAGAGATACTTGTTTAACTGACCTAAGTATAAATGAACAAAATATCTTCTCATTTGATAAATATGTACTTAATAGTACATAAGTACCTGCTCTTTGATTTGTTATCAGGACATTTAACTGTAATCATCAATGGGTTTCCACCAGAAGACAAAATAAATGTTTCCCCATTTGCAATTTCATCAGTCTCCATTTATGCTTTTATTATACTAGATGGAACTTGCTCTGCTTGCAAATTTCCTAGATTTTTTGCTAGTAAGATCAGGTTCTCCACTGCAGATAAAGAAGAGCAGTTGTGTAAATATCCTTTTGCATTAGTGGAAAAACATATACTACATAATTTGGAAGAGACGCTTGAGTTTGATATATTAGGAACTTCTTGTCATCATCCTCCATTCAATCTTGAATAAATTTTAAAAGCTCTTTAATAATTATGTATGTATATGTATATGTTTGTATATGTTATATATATATATATATATATATATATATATATATATATATATATATATTATATATATATATATATATATATATATATATATATATAAACATGTAGATGTAAATTATATAATATACATTAATATATATACAGTACCGACAGAAAGTTTCCAGGCCACTGTATATTTACAGCATAAGGCAGCAAAAATAAGATGTACAACATTATGTTAAATATAATTTACAACTATTATTATCAAAAAGATTATAGTTAAACACAATAAAATAATTTCATTAATATTTTAAATAATTTCATCAGTATTTGGAATATCCACTCTGGCTTTCAACACCGCAGCAATGTGCTTTGGCATTGACTGAACAAGATCCACACAACACTCAACTATTATTTCATTCAGTTTCTAGCAATATAAACAGTTCTGTAGCATTCTTTGGCTTCTTTCCTTTAATTTTCTGAAATAAAATTTCCCACTAATGTTCTATAGGATTCAGATTAATAGACTGAGGAGTCCAGTTCACTACATCAACTTTATTCCCCTGAAACCAGTCCATCACAGTCCTTGCCTTATGGCAAGGCGCATTGTCTTGCTGGAAATACCAGTCATTTGCACCAAAAGTTGCAGCAGCAGAAGGCAGCATACATTTCTTCAGTAAATCCAAGTACTTAACAGCATTTAGAGTGCCATCACACCTGTAAAGCATTTCAACCCCGGCTGAACTCATACACCCCCAGATCATGATGTTGCCACTACCAAACTTCATAGTAGGCATAATACACTCTTCTTTGAGTTTTTCATGTTTTCTTCTTCTCACAAACACTCTTCTGGATGAATTAAACACTTCAAATAAGCTCTCATCACTCCATAAAACAGATTTCCAATCTTCTGCAGTCCAGTCTTGATGTTGCTGAGCAAACTCCAACCTCGCACATCTATGATGTGGCAGTCAGTAGGGGCTTCCTGATAGCCACACAACCTCTTAAACCTGATAATTTTAGTCTAGTTTTCACTGAAGTGGTTAATACTGTAACTCAATATTCATTCTGCTATTTATTCTGCAGTTCTGGTGCAGTTAGATGTCGATTTTGCAAACTTAGTCTTAGCAGTGCTCGCTCCTGTCTCACGGCAGACTTCCTGGATCTTCCTGCACGAGATTTATCTTTCACACTACCTGTCTGATTTTATTTCTTTATCAACTCATCAGCAGTTTGTCTTCTAACTTTGATACTTTTTGCAATAGATTAATGAAATTGTCCTTTTTCTGCCAAAAATATTTCTCTTAATCGCTGTTCATATGATAAATTTCTCTTTTTAAATGCCATTTTAAATGCTTTAAAGCAAAATTTATATAGAACTAAAAACAATCAAATATAATAAATACACAGCATTGATAGTACTAATGTTGTTGTATTTAAAAAAATCAATAAAATGAAATCAAAACTATTAAAAATAAAATTATAATATCAATTCAATATGTATGACCTATTTCTTTATATGATTTCAAATTAGTATAATATTTTTAATCATAATCAATCATAAAAAAGGGTGGGTGTAAAACTATCCTAACACTCTATTTTGCCCCATTTAGGACCCTTAGCACTTGGTTTAGATTTTAAAAGTAACTTTTTCTTATATTATAAAATAAATACTATTAAATAAAAAAAGTTTCATTTAATTGACACAATATAAAACCTGGCGGTCTCTCTGGTCCACTGTGCATTAATTCGTATAATAAGTAAACAACAAGAAAACAAAAACTGTTGTGTACTATCAATTTTTATTGCAAAAATAAGGAATTTCTTGAAAATTTATTTTAAAAACCAAGGGTTTCTAAAAAATTATCATTATTTTTTAAAATGCCAGTAAGATTTTGAGTAAAGCAGTAAAAATACCACTTTTTTGAGAATAAAAAATAAAATTATTGTTTACAAATTTTCAAAATTTGTTGTTTATTTCTTGAAACTTCTTGCAAACCAAAATACTTTAGCAACAAATGCCGGTTACTATAGGTAACAATAACAATAATAAAATGAATAATAATTTTTTTTTGTAATTCACCTCCCCAAGGCCAAGAAGGCCACTACAGATGAGGAGGCTACTTGTGGTTATAACCCTCTCTCAACTGTATAACTCCGAAAAACGAACCTTGACAAATAAGGCCGCTACGCGGAAAAACAAGTTGTGCACGGTACTACCAGGGACATGGTGGGAATCCAACTCTGAACTTTTCGCTTATGAAGTGAGCGCTCTATAACTACACCACTACCGCAATTAAGTAATAACAAACCTCTAAGTTCCAGTTATGACTTTCCAATTTTAAACGACTCTCTCTTTCATTTTCTATGCCAACAATTTCCTAAAATATTTTTAAATGATAAAAAAAAAATGAGAAATAAGAATAAGTTGATTTTTCAATAGTAAAACATCGAAGAATGTCTTGAACATCTTAATTTATTATAAAAAAAAAAAAAAATTTATGATAAGTAAAAAAAATAAATCCTATAGAAAACTTTGAACTATTAAACAACTCCACAAAGCAAACTTTAAAAAAATGCAACATGAATAAAATATCTTTTTTGTTATTTTTATTTTAATATTTTTTTATTTAAAAAACCAAAAAAAAAATAATTATAATTCCAACAAACTGTTTTTTTTTATAAGATTGTAGCCCATCAAAAATTTTATTTTATAAACCATTTTATTCAATAAAATAAAACTTAAAAGACAGTAATTATGTGCTAAAAACAGACACTGATTTAGTAGTTTTATAAACTACTATATACCATCTATGCACATTATCAAAATAAATAAAGTTTTAAATTAAAATTAAATCAAAAACTCAATTACGTTTAAACCAAATAATGTTCTCTCTACTACATATTTTCAATGTGTAATAGAGAGAACATTAAAGTTATAAATCAAATAAATACAAATAAGAAATCATAATATTTTTTATATGAATAAAAAATATTATGATTTCTTATTAAAAACAGAATAAAAGTGGTATTTTGGAGGGATTTCATCGCTTACTATACTAAGAATGATACTACTTGAGAGTATAAACAAAGATAAACAAATAAATACAAAAAAGTATGAAATAAAAAAAATAATAATCAATCTTTTTTTTTCACTTAAAATGCTTATTCAAGTTAAAGACTATTTTGATGTTTGGAGAAGGGGAGGTCGTGATGTTCATAAAAATAAACTGACCAATTAAAGCATATTAAAAAAACATTTCTATTATGCGATAAAACAGATTTCTATATATATTCCAAAAGTCTTAATATTAGAAATAATCAACAACATGTCATTAGAAATGATCAATAATATGCCCCCAGACAACAATATGCCACCAGAATTAACATAAAAATAAGAAAGGTTAACAGCTTTTAACTTACTTTTTCTAAAGTATTAAATTTTGTAGAACTGTGGAAAAGGCTTGGTAGAACTGTGGAAAATCAATACATCAAATTCTTATTAAATGTTAATGGCTGATTTAGCATTACCTAAAAAACCTTCTGAAAAACATTGTTCCATTCTTATTATATGAGCTATATACTTGTTATTTTTAAAAATGATTTATATCCTCAAATTTGTATCAAGACAACAGTATATTATTATTTAATTGGCATTTTTCAATCATTATAATTTAATTATAACTAATAATGTTAAAATAAAACTGTAACAGTGCATCACTATTTTTTATAGTTTATAACTGTAAAAATATTAAGTATAAAAATTAGTGATACTAATGACATTAGGAGAGTTTTATTGGGCAGGTTTTTTAATGCCAATGTTGCATCTATGTACCCTGCCTAACCCTAATTTATTCTGACATAATCAGTAATGTTTCATGCAGACCTAAATAAAAGATATGTGTAGACTGCAATACAATTATTTATTTATTTATTTATTTTTTCTAAATATCAAGGTGCACAGTTTAAAAACGATTGAGTACAAAATTGAAATATAAAAATCTATCTTATACTATGGACTCAGATAAACATAAAATGCCACTGATAACATCATACTAAAATAGAGATAGACTAGGTTTTATGCCAACTAATGGTTCATGTTTGTGTGTGTTTGTATTTGTGTGCATGTGTCATCAATACAGAAAACCTTTAACATAACTTCAAATTAGAACAGCGTAAATAAGGAAACCTAGAAGATTAGAAAATGATGAAAAACTGTCTAAAGTCAGGATCAGAAGGTTTAAATAAAAGCTTTTATATAAAAAATCAGCCACTCTATATAAATGTGTTGAAATTAAACATAAAAATAAATTGAATAATACAAATCAGAACAGCTCTCACTAAATAAAGATCTTACGATTCAGACCAACAGAGTAATAGAATTTAATATTTGTAGCTTTTCATTTTAATGGGAATATTAACAAACATTTAGTACTTGAATAAAAATATTTACAGGGAAATAAAAAAAAGATTTAAATAAGAATCAATGAAATTAACAACTTTCTTGAGTTTATTAATTAAAATTTTTACTATGTTTGTTAGTTTTTTTTATGTAAGTTTTATTATTTAAGTGTAATAGAATCAAAACAACGGATAGAAAAAAAAACTTAATGAAAAATAGAAAATTAAAAACCCAATAATGTTAAAGGTAATACCGTCAGGTCAATTCACAAGAGGCATTTAAACAAATAGCATTATTGTATTGTTAAATACAAAACATAAAAGGATTGACCTGAAACTGCAAAATTAAGTGAGCCTTATCTTCATCTGAAGGAGCATTATAAGAATCATTCTCAGAGCTACTCTCTGATGCACCGGCCATTATAAATATTAACGTCTGCCGATATTTACATGAAAAAACTATTTTTGAAATAAAAACAAGTAATTTTAAATAACGTGCTTTCGATTAACTCTTATAAGATTATATTTATCAAAAAAATTACTTATTCTTGGCCGACGTCACTGAAAGTCAGAGACCTGTCCTTCCCCTTTTTATATTGTGAAGCGATAAAATTTTGACAAATTAACGGGGAAATTATGACACATTAAGTATACATAATATACAAATATATGCCTCATATTTGTATTTGTATTACTTCTCATTTCTACTCATATTTGTATTTTGTATTACTTCTTGGTCGGACTGGCCAGGGTGGTTGGGGGGATTTCCCCCGGGCCCCTGCCATGTCTGTAGGTCTTGGTCCTCACTATAAAACTTAGAGGCAATTTTGCATGTTACAATTAATGTTTGCATCTCACAATTAATGTATTAAAATATGAAGAGAAGTTTCAGAAATTACATTCTCTGCATTTCATAATTCTGCATCTTAAAATTTTTAATATATATAATATATTTTAAAAATTGTTATATATATATATATATATATATATATATATATATATATATATATATATATATATATATATATATATATATATACATATATATATATATATATATATATATATATATATATATATATATATATATATATATATATATATATATATATATATATATACATATATATATATATATATATATATATATATATATATATATATATATATATATATATATATATATATATATATATATATATATATCAGGGGCGGGTTTTGTCGCTCGCTAAGGAGGGGGATAAAAAGGTATTAAAAAAAAAAAGGTCCCCATATTTTCATTTATAACTTTATTTCTTTTTTAATTTTTTGTATTTTAGTGTAATAATCAAGTTAATATACGTATAATAGTCAATTTTATTCATCAGTATAATAGTCTAATTCTGTATAACAGTCAATTTACAAAAGAATATTTCTGAAAAAAAGTCCCAATGGGGAAGGGGGGCTACTACCCATGCCTCCCCCCCCCCCCCCTCTAAAACCCGCCACTAGAAAAATCTCATCAGAAATTTATGTAGTAAAATTGCAAAAAGTATTGGAGTCTTGTATAAAGTGTTGTATAAAGAATTTATTCAAATCTACTAATTCAACTTTATTACTCTTTTATATACTGTCACATTAATTATGCTAATATTGCGTGGGGAAGCGCTTATAAAAGTAATTTAAAGCCACTTTATTTTCAACAAAAGCACATTGCACGACTTATAAATTTCAAAGATCGTCTTACTCAAAGCCTCTTTTAATTAATACGAATATTCTAGGGTTCGGAACTTATGCGCATATTGGTGAATATATGCGCATACTATTCAAATGTGCATAATTATGCGCATAATGAGCATATGATACTCATACAAATGCTATATAGAATTATTTAGATATAGAAGAAAATGTTCTTTAAATCAAACGCAGGTGACTTTAAATTAAAAGAAATAATTTTTCATTCGATTTTCTGTAATTAATTTTATTTGTAAATATTTCAAATTATTTTTATGATTTTTAAACGAATTTCTGTATCACAAAACTTAAAATATTAGTTTATTTTTGTATTTTTGAATTTATTTATTTTTTTTTTTTTTGTTGATATGGTGCCTCAAGAAGTCCTTGCGGTCTTATTTGGTTTTGAAAGCAAGGAACAATAATTTGTTTTTAATTTTTCTATTAAAAAGAAGATTCCTAATTTTAAAATTTTTGACAAGACATTCTTAATTTAATGACATAGACATTAGGGGGGGGGGGGGGGGGGCTTGAAAAACAAAAGATTTTTATGATGCTTTCGGGGTAGAGCGGAAAACTTGTCTCTAAACATAAGTAACCTTTCTGAAAAATTCTAACACCCTAGTACACTGTCTTCTGTTCTGGCAAGGGACTTGAAATTTCAAAAGTTTAGTATAATATCCGTTTTTTAAATACATTTTTAGAAATATTTTTTAGGCGTCACAGCACTTCGCGGTAGTGTGCAAAAATTGCGTATGTGTATGATTAGTTACTGTATTAAACTTAAAGCTCCACGTAAAATTTTTTTTCTATTCTGGCAAAAAGCCTGAAATTACGCTAAAATCGACAAAACCACTGATTTTTCATTATTAAACTAAAATTTATAAAACATAAACTTGAACTGTTATTCACTTACATATAAATTGTATAACTGCATACTATTATTAGAATTAAAAAATAAGTATATAAAATTAAAAGTACGAAAATGGTTGTTTTGTAGGTTTTTAGGTTTTGTACTGTTTCTTGTACCTAAATTCAGGCATGGTCTTTCTCAATTTTAGAGTTGTCAACCAGCATGATATGTTTAGGGTGAAAACATCAAGGTTTTAGCAAAACCTTGAGGACATATGCCTAATTTAATAACGAGAGCAACATCTCTCAAATACCTCTGGTCATTACTCAAATTTTATTAAGTAGCTCACATGCCTTTAAAGATTTTCTAATGCAACCCGCGTAGGAAGTAAGTCCGGTGGTAGGACGATCAAGGGATTCAAACAAGTGGCAAAGAGACAATTTGTTGAAATGCAGCTAAAAAACAACCCATTGCACCGATCTCCTAATCTTTAGTTCAAGACGACGCAGTGCCTCATTATGAACTCTAGTATTTACAACCGTTCCATCACGCTCTATTACAAGAACAGTGTTTAAACCTTTACACACTTTTGCTGTGATATAGTCACCGAGAACCTTTTTTTTAAATAATTTTATGAGACACTCATAACTATTTTATTCATTACTTATTACATTTTACAGCATAACATAAAAAATAACATTTTATATATATATATATATATATATATATATATATATATATATATATATATATATATATATATATATATATATATATATATATATATATATATATATATATATATATATATATATATATATACATATATATGTATGTATGTATGTATATACTAATATATTTAAGTTTTAGATTTTTTTTTTTTTTAAATTAGTTTTTAAGGAATTTATATTTTTCAGGAGGGGTATTGAGGAATTTTTTGATATTAATTTGTTATACAAGTAAGGACCACGATATGCTATAGAAAATTGGGATAGTTTTCTTTTTTTCAACGTACTATATAGTTTTCAGTTGCTCTAGTGCTAAATTTATTTATATTAGTTTTAAAAAAGTTATTTATAAATTGACTTGAAACAGTTCCCATTTTATGTTTGAGCTTAAACAAAATACTTTGATATAATATTGATTTGGTAAATGTTTAAAGCATTCATCTGTTTAATAATGGGTTTTCCTGAGTCCGTTTGTTTTTATAAAATATAACACTTGAAGCGAGTTTCTGCAGTCTATAGAGTGAACTTAATTTAGTTTAGGGTACTTGCCCATGCTATTTTGGCGTATGATAGATAGCTGTGTATAAAGGAAAAATAAAAAAGTTTTAAATTTTTGAACGATAGATAATTTCTTGCATTATAGAGTAGACCAATATTTTTTGAGATTTTTGTATTAATGGTATTTATGTGAGAGTTCCATGATAAATTCTCGTCAAGAAGGACACCAAGAAATTTAGATAATTGAGCTCGTTCAATAATTGTATTGTCTATACTAAGAATTGTAAAAATGATGGGGTAGCTTTTTTTTTTTTGGTTGGGGTGAAACAACATGTATTTAGTTTTTTTAAGTTTAATGACAATTTGTTCGCTCTGAACCATGTGTTAAGTTTAAGTTTAATAAGTTCTAGGTTAATTTTCTAAAAATGTCTAAGACAATATAAAATAAACAAACGTAAAATTGGTGAAAGTGATAAATAAAACATATTATTAAGGAACAAAAAATTAAACTCTTTTAACAATGTAAGAGTTTTAAGTTCAGATGTTAGTATTTTATTCCATGCATTTGGTCCTCTAATTGAAAGTGAAAACTCAGTTGCCGCATAATAACTTATGGGTTGTATGTAGGTGTTACTTGAATGTCTAGTTAAGTATTTATTCTGATTAGTCTTGAATAAGAGATCAAAAGTTTTTGGAATAATACTTTTATTAATTTTGAACATAAAAATTAGAAGATGATAAATATTTATTTGGTAGATATTTAGTATATTTAACTTGGTAAATAAAGGTTGGGAGGGAGTACTGCGTTTTTTATTGGATATAATTCTGATTGCTTGTTTTTTCATATTAAAGAGTTTTTTTGATTTATTTTTGTTGGTACTACACCATGTAATATTAGTGTAATTAAAATAGGAATGAATAAAAAAAAAATATAAGAGTTTTAAACAACTTGAATTTAAAAACGGTTTTGCCCTATAGAGTAGGCCAATGCTAATTGATATTTTACATTCAATATATTTTATATGATTTCTCCATGTTACATTTTCGTCGAGGAGTACTCCTAGAAATTTTAATGATACCTCTCTTTTTATTTCGCAATTGTTAATACAAAGATTTGGAAGTTTTGATGGCATTTTGTCTAATTCATGATAGCGATGGAAAAAAGTATATTTTGTCTTCGTTAAATTTAGAGATAATTAGTTTGCTTTAAACCATTCAGCAAGGCATAGTAGTTCTGTGTTTACAGTTTTAAATAACATTTTTATATCATTGTGAGCATAAAATAGATTAGTATCATCTGCAAACAAGATTGTGTCTAATACATTACAAGATTTGCTTAGATCATTGATATATGCTAAAAATAAGAGCGGTCCTAGTATAGAATCTTGTGATACTCCACAAGATATATTTATGTTGTTAGTTTTTCCGTAATTATGAGAAATATATTACTGTCTATTTGACAGATAGCTTTTAAACCATTTAAGGTTCGAATGTTTAATACCGTAGTTTTTTAATTTGGTTAATAAAATATGATGATTTACCGTGTCAAAAGCCTTGCTGAGATCAATAAATACGCCTAAAGTATATTTATTTTCATCAAAAGATTAAAGAATATCATGAACAAGATGAACAATTGCCTGATCAGTAGAGTGATCCTTTTTGAATCCAAATTATTTATTATAAAGAATGTTATTAAAATCTAAGAAATAGTATAGTCTTTTATAAATAATATGTTTTAATATTTTTGAAAAGCATGGTAGTATTGAAATAGGTCTATAATTTGCAATACATGTTGCATCTTCAGATTTTAGAACCGGCATCACCCTTGCAACCATCAGTTTATCAGAAAAGATTCCTTGTTTTAATAAAAGACTGAAAATGTGCAGAAGCGGAGTTTTTAAATAAAATATTGATTTAATTATTATATTGCTACTTATATCATCAACTCCATAACCTTTATTTGGTTTTAATAAATTTACAGCATCAAGTAGTTCTTTTTCAGATAACTTATTATTTTCCATATGACTATTATTAGAGGTTAAGTATGATTCAAAGCTAGTTTTACTATTTTTTTATATTAGAGGTCAGATTTGGGCCCGTATTAACAAACGCATGGTTGAAAGAATTACCGATTAAAAAGTCATTAGTAATTTCACAATTATTTATTGTATTACCATTTGACTGAAAATTTAAATGTTTACAGATATCGACGATTTGTTTATAAATTTAACAATCATTATTCGATACCTAGCGGATTATGAAATGTACTTCAAAGCAAACACATAAAGTCATTTGTCATTATTTTAAATACAATTGTCATTATTATTGAAGATCGCTTCAACAACTTATGGGAAGATGATTAGTGATTGAATTTATATTATAGATATAGAATAAAAATTTGATTAGTTTGTTCATTATTTGATGAGGTATCAACTGTTCTATAATATAATTTGCTGAGATCTACTATTATATAAATGTATAGTTTAACCAAAAAAAAAATCAATGGTTTTAACAGATACTTTTAATGTTACTTTAAGGGAGGAGGGGGGTTCATAAATTGACATCATATATAAAGGAGGGAGGGGTCGGCCAAATATTGGGTCGGGAGAGTCGGCCAAAAATTGATAGAGTTTGATAAAGGGGGGAGAGGGGCCAAAAAAATAAGAAAATCACTGACATCATTTATGGATAGCCCTTTGCCAGAACAGAACATATTGTCCGTTGGGCGTGAAATTTTGCACAATTAACCGTACAAAGGTGCAAGTTTTGCAAACTACCACAAAATGCTGTGACGTTTAAAAAATATTTTCTTAAATATATGGATGTATATAATATGGATGTTTTATATATGATTGTTTTAATAAATTTTTGATGTATACATATATAGATGTTTTAATAAATTTTTGAAATATCATATTCCTTGCCAGAACAGAAGACATTGTACTAAGACATTGTACTATTTTGCACAGAAGTTACTTATGTGCAGCGACAAGTTTTCCGTTCTACCCCGAAAAAAATTTGTTTTTTCGAGCCCCCCTAGTAGACATCCAAAATTGGGTTTGCAATTTAGTTAAAAATACAACTGCATACTTTTAACTTTTGCGGCATAATTGTGACGCAGTTAAATCGTCAAAATATTTTTTTAGTTGATTAAAAAAATAAAAAAAATAAAAAAAAAAATTAGGTACGTACAGAGAGCTACTTTATCCACTGGGTTAAGCTTAATATTAACTGAACAATAATTTTTTAAACATTTTAACAATGACTCCCTTTATAATCTGGTAAAATACTTCAGCGTTGCTGTTGGATTATAAACTGATTTAGTATTGCTACTGGATTTTTATATTATAAACACTATATAACTTTATAAATGCCTAAAAACTGTAAACTTTGTAGTTACATTGTCATAAAAATATTTGTAAAACAGCAGTTACAATGTTAGCTTATTTTATGTTTACTTCAAAACTATTTTACTCATTTAAAATTTAAGGTATTGAAATAAATCCTCATTTGATCATATTATATGAAATGTTTTTCTCTGACTTTGGTGTTATTTACAATTTTCTTTTCAATTAATCTCATGAAAATAAGAAGCAAAATATCAAATAGTAGCTCAACAGACAGCTGCATAATACAGAACAAAATCACTACCTACAAGTCCTTAAAAACCTGACAAGTAAAAATAAAATCGTCTAATCAAGAAAAAAAAATTTAAGTTGTCCAAATAACATTGTAAAACTAAAAAGCAGTTAGGTTATAAAAACATAAAAAACATGTTTAATGAATAAAAAACTTTTTAAATTAAATTGAATCTAGTAATAAAGATAAATAACTCTATAATAAAGAAAATCTAAATAAAGATATCATTACAATCACAGCAAACATTAAAAAAAAAAATTAATCTATACAAATTAACATACTCATAAGAAAGAAGATATTCTCATAACAAAAACATGTATAATACACATATGAATAGCTTTAAGCTTTTAATCTAAAAATTATCTATAAAACCACAGTCATATATCTTAGGCCAAGATCAATTGTTTTGACCAAGAGCTGGCTAAGCCATAAATTGGAACACTTTATTTAAAAAGTTTAAACAAATAATAAGCAATATAAACTAATTTATTTTCAAACTTATTATAACAATTAATTTTTAATGGTGTATATTTATTACAACTTATTTCAATATCACTGGATAAAATTATCTAATCTTAACATTTATGAATAAACAAAATGCTTATGATTGTTTATGAAAAAAAAATTCTTTTTTATGAGAAAAATGTTCATTGATAATGATTATAAAGATACTTAAGCCTAAAAAGAGGAGTCTGGGGAGCATTTGAATTTGTTGCTCACAAAAAGTTTACCTTTTTTATACCAGAAGTTTAATTTTTATCTATTTATTAGAAGAACTGCAAATAAAGAAATAAAAATACTATAAAAACAAATAAAACAAAGATCAAACAAAATATTATCAAAAAGATGTAACAAGTTTATATATTAATTTATATATTATAAATGCAATATTACACAAGAACATTGATGCGTAGAAAACCATGTGGTAAATTTGAACCAGTATCAATTGAAGACATGGCATCAAACAACAGTGATGTTTTAACCCATGCAGAAGGTGTATATGGCCAAACATTCATTATTAAAAACATATCTTCTTTTTCATGGTAAGCTGCTATTGGACTAAATTGACAAAAGTCTGCATCATAGCCAAGTTTGCTCATGTTAAAATTTGCAATTAACCCTGTAACAGGTCTTTTTATATAATCTCTGACTTCTTCACGAAATTTTTCTTCAGTTTCTATCAACGAAGTCTCCCATTTCTTCTCTTTTAAGAGAGATTTTAACTTAGACTCATCATAATTACTTTCATTTGTATGAAGAGCATAAAAAGAATGAGTACCAAATCCAAGTAGCATTGCAGCATATGAAAGATCATCAAGAGTTACTCCATTCTTTCCGACATTTATTTTTTGAAAGAAGTTGTTGACTCCATTTTTTTCAGCAAAAATGATGTCATTTTCGTTTAACATTTCTTCAGTAAATTTTACATGTTGCATTGCAGATAAGGCATTGATTACAAAAGCAAGGGAGGCTGGTCCGGAGTAATTTCTGTTATGCTCCTTCATTTCTTTTTTAATAAAATTTTCATTCAAGATTGTAGTTTCTTTTAACATTTCCTGACCTTTTTGCGTTTGAAGTCCTATCAAGCCATTAGGTACATCATTTGGTAAATATAACATCTTTTTCTAATAAACTTTTAAGCATAATAACAAGAAAAAAATCATTAAGTATCAAGATCTAAATCACAGCCCAACAATAGAAAAAGTTAAAAAATAAATAAATAAAAATTTTAAAGAAGCTATCATTAAATTAAATTAAATTTTTTTAATTTTTATTATATTATCTTTTTTATATTATTAAATATTTTTTATTATATTTTGTTTTTCATATAAAATAAACAAACATTAACATTGACAAAGAACCTTTGACGGTCCTCTATCAATGTTATTATTAACTAGGTTAAATAAATGCACTTGTCTTTAAGTTATAAGAACATCTCGTGAAGACCAATAATTTGTTGATGAGTTCAAAATAAACAAAAATTTAACATAAAAGTCAGTTAATACTTAATTCTACCTTTCAAAAGTATGATTTAGCATTAACATTGTACAAAATGACCTTTTAGTCAAAGTATTAACGTATTAGCTACCTTTTTTAAGTTAAATTTTTGCTTATTTTGAACTCATCAACAAATTATTGGTTTTTATGAGATATTCTTACAACTTATAAAAACATGTACAATTATTTAACCAAGTATACATTTAAAATGTTACAAACTATACAATTTCGACACACTTTCAAAGTAATTCGGACGTCCTAGACAAATAAAAAGCAATCTCGTTTTCCATTTGAAAAAAAGATAAAAGAATAAGTTTAAACTTAATTTTAAAATTTTAATTTCTACAATCTTTTCTCAATAAATTGAAATTCAATAAATGCGCTATCAAATTATGTCCAGAATTTAATTTTAGAGTGTTCTTTTTATTTACGTCACTTGGTGGCACCACTTTTTTTTTTAATGACCAATTTTTTTTAATTAAGTTGAGTCACCAAATTTAAATTTTTTTCATCGTAAACCAAAAAAAATGGTAGATAAAAAGGTTAATAGAGGATTTCTGAGGAATTTTTTTATTAGTATTATTTCCTTTATATATATACAGGGGCGGATCCAGCATTTTTTGGTGTTTGAGATAGCTAACTTCCAGACATGGAGCAAACTCCAAACATTTATATGTTTATACTTATATCAAATAAGGATGGTTTGCAAAAAATTGCGATGATTGGAGCCTGGGAACAAAAAAGCCCCAAAATTTGAGACGCACCTGCCCCAAACGTGAGAGCAACAAGTTGATAAAATATTTTTTGTACTATTCTCAACAAGACTTACATTTATCCATAAATTTTAAATTTCATTGTAAAATATTTCAGTGTTCAAAAATTATGACCATGTAAAATTTGAATCCCCCTCAATTCGAGGGGGTTACAATTTTTATATGGTCATAATTTTTGAGCGCTAAAATATTTTACAATGGAATTTAAAATTTATTGATAAATATAAGTCTTGTTGAGAATAGTACAAAAAATATTTTATCAACTTGTTGCTCTCACGTTTGGGGCAGGTGCGTCTCAAATTTTGGGGCTTTTTTGTTCCCAGGCTCCAATCATCGCAATTTTTTGCAAACCATCCTTATTTGATATAAGTATAAACATATAAATGTTTGGAGTTTGCTCCATGTCTGGAAGTTAGCTATCTCAAACACCAAAAAATGCTGGATCCGCCCCTGATATATATATATATATATATATATATATATATATATATATATATATATATATATATATATATATATATATATATATATATATATATATATATATATATATATATATATATATATATATATATATATATATATATATATATATATATATATATATATATATATATATATATATATGTATATATATATATATATATATATATATATATATATATATATATATATATATATATATATATATATATATATATATATATATATATATATATATATATATTCATAATTAATATTACATTTTATATCTAATTTTTTAAATTTTGAAAAAATGTTTCCTTGGACGATCTCCCCCTCTCCCCTTCTCCCATTTACAGCGATCATTCAAATAACTCAATATTTATAAGAAAATACAAAATAATCCGACACCATATATATTTTTTAGATTATATATAAATATACTTTTAATATAAAAATAATCATGCATATCTCAAAAACATAAAAAAAAAATGTCTTTCCTTCCTCTTCAATGTCTTTTCTGTAGCATTAATATTGTTAGTGCATGTTATGCCATGATACAATTTACAAGATGCATCTTGTAAAGAGTGTCATGGCGTACATCATGATGTACAATTTGATCCAGCTTTTTGGCAGGTGCATTTATTTCCCGTGCACTTTTGCAGCTGCATCTAATGTTCAATATATTTTGAGGACCGGCTTTTATATTTATCATAATTGGTGCATGCATTTGATTTTGTATATCCATCCCCAAATCAATGAATTTAAATCAGCATTACTCAAATTTTTTGGTGATAAACTCTGATTCCATGATAATATGCAGTTTTTGGTGATGGTGGTAATAGAGCAGGATCAATACTTGCACAATTTCATCATATTTATGTTTCCTGATCTACTGTAGATTGAAACAAGATGAATAACGCAGCTCAAAATAATGAATAGCTTTCTTAACAATATCATCAGTAAAAACGTTTACCTGATAGAATAAATCTGCAGTAGATTTTAATTCATTTGAACTTTTCAACTTCTTAAAAATTATGGTTTTAACAAAGTTATGGATTGCTGGTGTTGTGTCACACCCAGTGAATGCGTGTACAAATAATATACAACTTAAAGTATTATTAATTGTATTTACAATATTATAAATTTTATTACATACTCTTTGATCTCAAGCCTTATTTTTTCGCAACGTTTTTAAAAAGATGCTTTGAGGTTGTGCTCCAATATGTACATGATGTATCAATAGACATAAAATATCAGTGTCATCCGAATAAATTGTGACTGACTCAACGTTGTCAATCTCAAGCACTAGCTTAACAATACTTGTATCTGCATCACTGAGACAAAAAATAACTTTAAAACCATTGTTTAGTAACTTTAACACTAAAAGCCTGACAAAATCATTTTTGTTTTTGTAGTTACTTAGGAAAATACTTCATTCTGCCGGGCATGGATTGAGATTATTGATTTCAACTGTTTGTGATATCTAACCAGATCGCTTTTGGTAGATACTATCTTAAGTGGACGACTGATAATCATCAAACATGATAGTGCCAAGTTGTAAGTGCTGAGAAAAACTAATGTGTTTTTAAAAAATTTTACTAAATAAATCTTTTTTTTTCCAGTTACAACATCACAATAATGCGCTCTCATCAGCAATCTTGATTAATACAGGTTCTTTTACTGGTGATACATCATTGAGTATGGATGTTTTTAATGTTGACTTTTGTGCTGATCTCATGACACCTCCTTTAAATAAGGATGTTGGATGTGGTGATAACTCATATTGAAAGTAACTCTCCACTTTATTCTCTGGCTTTCTTTCAACAATGCCAACCAATCTTTAAAAAATTGTCAATAGGTCGATTGTAACAATTTCGTCTTGAATAGACACGCAGGAGTATAAGTTCTGGAATGTTGCTTTTGATTTTTTTGTTTGAAAGAGTTGTGAAGATTTTACCATTCAGCTTTTTGTGTATTGATGCTCCAATCTCTTCTGATCGATTACAAGTAATGATTTTCTAATTAAAACAAAACCTGAGTCAAAACTAACAAGTTGATCTCCGACCATGAATGGGTTATGAGCAAAAAACCATGATTGTAGTTTTTTAAAGTCGTTACTGAAAATATGTTAAGGGTGTGGACGAAAACATTGCATCGATGCGCCGAAGTTAGTGATGCGATAAGTACTCTAACATTTACGCATTAATCTGTTGACAAACATAAAGAAATATATCCTGGAAGAATGAAACGTGGCAGTGACTACTTGTAGTCATTACCACGTTTGAATGAAACGTGGTAGTCACTACCAAGTTTCATTCTTCCAGGATACATTTCTTTATGTTTGGAAATAATTGCCATTTTCTTAAAGATCTATTTTCAAAGCTTTGTCACCGGTTTTATATTCAAAAAACTACTACTATATTCTCATATACATGTATATATATATATGTATATATATATATATATATATATATATATATATATATATATATATATATATATATATATATATATATATATATATATATATATATATATATATATATATATATATATATATATATATATATATATATATACATATATATATATATATAATTTTTCAACTCCTTCATAAAATAAGAATTCCCGTATTTATACAAGATTAATCACAAATGCTTCTTCTTCGCGGTAGGAGTTCTCTTACTATAACTGCGACATAACTAAATCAAGCCTAGATTAATAGTGCTGACGAATTATTAAAGGCTCTCTACCCAATTAAGTCCACATTCCATTACTAAAATGACACCTTTAGTTTTTAATAATAACACAGTTATCAAGACTACAGTAAACGCATATAATAAAACTAACAAAATATATAACAGAGCTGTTATACATTATGTTTATTTTTCAAACAGATATAAATAAATTTTTCATTGTTTTATCGTGATGCGTTTTTACTTTTTCAGGAACGAGTGCAAATGGTATGATTACTTCTTCTTTTGATGAAAATGTTGTTTGTTCTGCGATAGACCCTGACTATGAACCTAAAAGCTAAATAACAACATTAGCTTTTCCAGTGGTATCAAAAACATACAAGCACTTAAACCCATGAAACGTTAGAGAATGTCAAAAAAACGTAAAAAATTTTAAATGACTAATCGCAAAGAATACGTGAAGTTAGAAAAGTTACGGAAAAAACAGTTACTTACGTTACCTTCGAAAAGTAACTATTTTAAAAGAGACAGAAAAAATAAACGTGTTTGTAAAAATAATTTTTTTATCTTAAACATGAGCCATTATATAAACACAGACAAAAAACTATAAACAAACTATAAACGCAGACAAAAAAAATCTTTCTGTATATATTTTACAAGCTCAATAAAACATGCTGGGACCGAATT